ACGCAAACCTGGCTCAGCCCGGTTGGATCTCCATGTCCTCAGTGCAGAGAGCGCTCTGGAAGGCCAGGGGTCCTCCTGTAACACAGCTGTTCTGAAAACTGCACATTCTGTATTCCAGTTAGCGTAGGGGGTGGGGAAGCTTACTGCGGGACTGTCTCCTTCCTCCCCCTTCCACACGGGAACAGCCTGCACGGGAGCATCTTGCTGAGTCCAGAGGCCCTTCCTGCCTTCACTGTGCTTCTGAAAAGGTGGCCCTAAGTGAGATGGGGGAGGGGAGCACATGCTAAAGTGCTGGAGGAGCTCAGTCCTTAAAGATGCCCTGCTGTGAGTCCTCCTGGAAAAGGCGTAGCCGATCTTTCACTTTGTGAGGTTTATTTCAAGTGCTCAGGACCTTCAGACTTCTTGTCTTTCCACCATTGGCCTTCCCATATGGTGGTGTCCCTGCCACTCCTCTCTGCCACTTGCCCCTCCTTGCCTCTTCCTCCTCTCTCATGGACGTGAGCCTGTTCCTCCTCTGCCTCATGTGTAGGCGTGAGCTGTCACTCACTATGTGTCAAGTGCTATGCTAGGGCACTCTGTGTGTGTGTGTGTGTGTGTGTGAGAGAGAGAGAGAGAGAGAGAGAGAGAGAGAGAGATGGTCACGCAGTCCTCCTGGCAACCCTGTGATGTAAGTGGGGGCCTCGGCACCATTATCACACAACTGTGTGTTGATGTGGGACCTAAGACAACATGTACAGCCCACAGTAAATAGTACATGTATACCAGGGGCCGGTAAAGTATGACCCACTGGCCACATCCAACCTGGGTGCGTTTTGTATGGTCTTGCCTGCTTAGAATGATTTTTAACGGCTTATAATAAAAGAGAAGAGTATGCAACAGAAACCAAATGAGGCCCTCGAACCTAAAATATTTCTGATCTGCCTTTACCGAATAACTTGGGCAAGCCCTGAGATACTGCGTGCAGAATTCAGTACCAATTCTGCAGCCGTACTGCCTCAGTTCTAGGCCTCAGTTGCATCATCTATAAAGCGAGAATAATCTATAAAACATGGCTGCCTCATAAGGTTGTTAGAGTTAAATGAGATAAAGACTGTAGCGCATCCAGCCTCAAGTGAGCATCTTTGGAAGTGTTGGGGGGAGATATTGCTGGGACCCTGCCAGGCCTCTCGACCCGGTGGGCACGGAAGCCCTGGCTCAGGGCCGTGGCGACCCCACCCTGGGACATGGCTTCCTCAGAGCGTGTTTCCTTTGGCAGGAGGAGAGGGACCTGCCAGCTGTCCATGGTGCCGAGCCCTGCTGGTAGGTCAGCTCTGCCTTCCTCCTGCCCCCATTCCTGCTGACCGTCAGCTGGTACCACTCGCCAGGGCTGGGCACACAGCCCACGCCAGGTGCTGGGCTAGGTCTGAAGGTACCAAGCCTCTTCCACTCTCCCACCTCGCGCCTCAGATCCACCTGGCGGAAACTCCTGCTTCCCTGCAGGAGCGGCGGCCTGGGGCGCATCCTCTCTGTGTGCACTTCCTCACTTGGGGACCAAACAGGCAGACATCTGTGTTCCCCCAAACCCAAGCTTTTGGCCAGTTATTGCCTTCCTGTGAGGGAAAAGCTAGGGGAAGGGGAATCCTGGGCCGGCCGGCCTCTGCTGAAAGAGTGGCTTGTAGAACAGAGTTCATGGATAGTGAGTGAAATGTAAAGAGGAAACAATGCAAATCACTTAAAAATCAAAAAGGATATTTTCTGATCTAGATAGAGGTTTTCAAGTCTTACAAGCAATGGGAAAAATTATAAAAGATCAATAAATTTTAATAATATGAACTATAAAACTTGTATTTTATATCAAAGACCCAAAACAAAATTTTAAGTCGAACTAAGAAAAAAATATTTATGCCAAGTATGACAGAAAAGGAATATTAAAAATATTTAAAACAACCAGGCTCTTAATGACAATAACAACAGCAAATATTTATATAGTGCCACATGCCAGGCACCATTCTAGGTATTCTATACCTTATTTAATCCTCATAAACAACTCTACAATAAAGGTACTATTATTATCCCCACTTCATAGATTAGGGAACTGAAGCACGAGAGGCTAAGCGACTTGCCCAGGGTTATTACTCAGCTAATTAATGGAGGAGCTGAGATTTGAACCCAGCCATCTGGCTCTTGGGTCTGAGCACTTAAATTTTTCTATACTAAATAGTAAAAAGATAAGAGGCAGACAATACACAAGAGAGGAAATACAAATATCTGAGAAACATAAGTATTATTTTCCAATTTCAATGGTAACCAAAAGTTACAAATTAAATGAACAAGATACCGTTTTTGTTTTCAAATTAGGAAAGATTCTTCAACCCTCTAATAATTAATAAATACTGGCGATGCTGGAGTGAAACAGATTCCCACAGATTGCTGTAGGCACATCGAGTGACCTTTCTGAATAGTATTCCAGCAATACTCAAAACAGTACTCAGGAACCCCGAAAATGTCCACACCCTTTGACCAGGAATTCTCGTTCTAAGAATCTAGAGAAAATAATTAGAGAGAGAGAAAGATTCATGCATAAAGGTGTTCATAAGAATGTTATACAAAATATGAAAACTTAGAAACAACTTACTTATCTGACAATAGTAAACAGGTGAAGGAAATTGTTCACTCTCCCTAATGGACAATTAGGCAGTCATTCAAAATAAATCTGTGCAACAAGACACACCATAAACAAAATGAAGAGGCACACCACAGACTTCTGGGGGAAGAAGACACTTGCAGCACATTTAACAACAAGGAATTACATAAACAAAAGATGCACAAAGAAAACTTACAAATTGGTAAGAAAAAGGCAGACAACCAAAGGGTAAAACAGGCAAAGAATGGGTATAGGCAGTTCAGAGGAGAGGCAACTGAGAGCTAATGAGCATGAACAAATGTGCATCTCCCTGTCAGTCAGGAAATGCACATGAATTAAATGTACTTACCATAGCAAGGGTCTAAAAGCAGAGACAGTGGGGGACAAGTTCATATCCATTGCTGATGGGACTACCCTGCACCCTCTGTGGAGAACTATTTGGTCATACCTAGTAAAATTAAAGGTAATCCCGCTACCTGCACTTGTGGGTCCAGCCCTGTGCAAACACCAGTTTGTGCAAGGAGACATGTTGAAGGATGTTCATGGCCACAGACTGTTTTTAACAGCAACAATGTTAGTATTATTGTTGTACTATAATACTACTGTGTATTATATATTATATTGTCTGATAAAATAGCAACAATTACTATCATTAAAGACTTGGAAATGGATAAGGAAAGGGAAATGGCTAAGTAAAATAGAATTTATACGTAATTGGATACTATACACAGTTAAAATAAATGAACCAGCTCTGTAACTATCAGCTCAGATAAATCTCAAAACCAATGCTGTGTAAACAGCAGGTTGAAAAAAAGACACATATTTGAATGATACTATTTATATACGTCTTTAAAACAGACTAAAAATATTACATAATATTTAAGGACATATGTAGGAAAATATTAAATAAGCATGCAAATATTGTGTGCTAGCTTGATTGATTTTTCTTTTTTAAAGCGAGGGTTGAAGCTAAAAATGGCAAAATGTTAACTGATATTCTAAATCTAGACAGGGTTATTGTGTTTTTCTGTTAAATTATTTTTCACCTTTCTGCATATTAAGCTATTTCAAAATGTCAACTTATTTTTAATTAACTTTTTGAATAATTTGCAGTTCCACGGAGAAAAGTTTGTGTTACAATGTTAAAGCATAAAATCAGGACAAATATACACAAATATTTACAAGTTTCACAAATTAAAAATTTGAAAGAGATATTTAAAATATTTGTAGGAGTGGACAACATTCCGGAATCTACATTTCTTCACACTCATCCATAGTTCCCATTTTTTCCTTCTGTGCCATGAAAATGCATTACATTTATATCCAGAAAGAATGTTTAAATAACTATAGAAAAATGTGAGTTTAGACCCTAGGAAAGGGCCCAAAACCTCGGGAGAGGTTCTGTGGCGGGCGGGCAGGCAGGTCCGAGCGCCAAGGGCCTGCCTGCCGGAGAGGCCCGCGCCCGCTCGCATGCTGGCTGCGAGTGCGCTCACTCTCTGACCGAGCCAGCAAACCTAGCGAGTCCCGCCTGTGTACAGGCGCTGTGCTGCCACCGGGCCGCCAACAGAACGTCCGGGTTCCTTCCCCCGCTGCAGGGCGGAGGGTCTAGTGCTGAGGGGTAGCAAGCACAGCACCATGCAGGTCATCTCCCCACGGCCTGGGCTGGCGAAGTCCAAGGGCAATGACAGGAGCCGAGGGTGCACTGGGGCGTGGGGAATCTGGCCTCGGAGAAGCATTTCAACTGGAATCCAAAGGACAAGGAGGAGGTCTGGAGCCCAGCAAAGCCCCACAGGGCGCATGCAAGGAACTGAAAGGAGGCGGAGTTCGGGAACACGAGGGTGGGGTAGAGTTGTGCCTCAGGAGGCCAACACAATAGTCGAAGGCCAGGGAAAGGTCTTCAAGGGTGGCAGGAAGTCGTTGGGGGGTTTAGCGGAGCAGTGGCGGGAGTAGATTTGCTGTCTCAGAGGTCCCCCTGAAGATCTCTCAAGATCCGAGTGGATGCCCATTAGAGAGAAAATGGCATTGGGGTCAGGGCGGTGGCAGTGGAGATGGAGAGACCTGGAAGGATTTGAGATATTTTGGGAGACGGGTTTTCAGGTCTTAGATCCCGTGTTGTTGAGGGGTGACACTGAGGGACGGGCCAAGGGGCAGAGCCCGGTTTGGGGGGGCAGCAAGTCTGGGTTGGTGGGAGTGGGAAACGGGGAACCACAAGCAGACTCGGGAGGGCAGGGGTGGAAGCAGGGGCAGTGAGCGCGCCGCCAGGTGCCACTGAGCTTCGGTTTCTCGGGGTCTGTGGTGGTGCCTGGGTGCCCGGGGCGCGCCCTGCCCCTCACCCGGAACGCAGACCGCTCCCACCGCACCTCCTCTCTCCCCGCAGGTGGGGCCTGCTGCTGCTGGGGCTGGAACGAGCATGGCATGTGCGGGGATGGCAGCGAAGCCAACGTCTGGGCCCCGAAGCCCGTGCAGGCTCTGCAGTCGTCATCCGTGCGCCTCGTGGGCTGCGGGGCTGGCCACTCCCTGGCCCTCTGCCAGCGGCCGGCCCTCCCTTCTCCAGCTGCCAGCGAGGACGCCAAGTCTCAGGACGCCAAATCTCAGGAAGCCGCCGAACAACGAATACTGCCTACCCAAAGCCCATGATACAGGTGCAGAAATGGGGGGCTTGCGACAGAGACCCTTTAATAAAGTGGCTCTTCCCACTTGGAGTGATGCTGAAGAATGGCTTTGTCGTGGCCAAGAAGGGCTCGGGAGGCACGTGTTTGGGCTGAGCTCAGGCCGGAATGATGGGAGGCTGCCTGCCGGGCGCCTGGGGCTTAGGAAGACAGACATCCTTCCCGCCCAGCAGATGAGAATGAAGGTTAGGTCCTTGCTAAGGGACATGGGAAGCAGCAGGAAAGCTCCAGGCTCCCCCTGCCTGGTGAGGACAGAAAAGCCAGGCCTGTCCCCAGTGGTCCTTCTGGTTCAGCAGCCTTCGATTCAGCCAGACCAAAGGTCCCTAGGTCATGCTTAGAGCAGCCACGTGCCCTTCTTGGGTTTTATTCTCAGGGTCCAGGGCATGTAGCTTTTGGTTCAAGGATATCAAGGTAGGCTGGTCAGGTGGCTGGATACCTGGACAGGAAGGAGTTCTTGTCTTGTGACTGGGACCACGGGAGAGGGCTCTGGACTGGGAGTGGGTGGAAGTGGAGATGAGCAAGTGGAGGAAGAGATAAGGCTCCTGGGAAGACCCAGCAGAGGGAACCCCCAGGAGAAAGGCATCTGTAATCTAGAGCTCACCATTCTGAAACTCTCAGAAGACTGAGGTCGTCCTCTGAGCCAGGCAGTCCTCTGCAGCTAGTTTGTGTGGCTTAATTGCCGCGCTGTGTCATTTCAGGTGAGGCGCAGTCACAGCGCGTGGGAAGGGGGCTCTGCGGGGATAGCAACATCAAGCCCCTGGGCCCCTCGCATCTGCCGCCAGGCCCTAACCTCTGCGGGAAGAGGGCCCTCAAGTGAAACGGGGTCCCGGCCCGACCCGGGGCCCCAGGCTTCCCCGCTGGTGCCTGTGGCTCTGGTGGACACAGTTCCTTTCTCTCTGCGGTGCCTGACAGCAGGCCTTTGGCCAGAGGGTTTCACAAAGCAGCTTTTCCTGGGGGCTAAGCGGCAGTGGCCCCAGCCAGCCTGCCAGCCCGGTGCCCATCCCGCATGGCCTTCCCTTTGTGACTTAGAGAGGGTCTGGGTATGTGAGGGCTGGGCTCCGATGGGTTCAGGAAGTTACAAAACGCCAGGACATCAAATCAGAAGGACCAATAAGGACCTATAATGACCTTCTAGCCTCATGGCCTCAAACCACCTTCATGAGAGCTCCAGCAGTCTCCTGACAACTCAGTGGGCACCGGGTGGACTGTGGGTGAAGGAAGGCCATGTGGACTGAGGTCTGGGTCCCCACCCTCTACCTGATTCACAGTAGCTTTATTTTAATCTATCTCATATCTTAGACTTCATAGATTGCAATTGACAAGGGGTCCTTGAGAAAGGTTTAAAACCACTGACCTTATCCAGTATTTTCATTGTTCATGTGGGAAAACAGAGGCTTAAAAAGGGGAAGGGACCATCTCAGGACCATACACCTCACTCCTGGCCCCAGGTCCTGATCGGGTGGGGACCCATTCCGAGCCCAGCCTGGGGGGGCAGACAAGGGGGAGCACTAAGACCAGCGGTGGGTTCCGCCCAGGAGAGTGGGGACAAGGACAGTCCTGAGCTCCCCAGGCCTGAAGCCAGGCCTGAACGTAGCCGTCGGTTGACCTTGAACACCAGCGTACAAGGCCCAGCTCCCAATCCTGTACCCTGGAAATGGGGTGCCCTGGTCTGCCACGACCTCAGTCCCCCACTCCCTGGAACCAGTGAGGCCAGCGCAGCGCCAAGCGCTTCTGGAACGGGGATAGGACGTCTCCGTGCACTCTGAGCCAGTTTTACCAAAGTGACCAAGCCCTCAGAGGGGACCCATACTGGAGCAAGCCCACCATTAGCGGCCACCACCCACAGACTGGGCGCTCTGCACAGGACACAGGCCAGAGAGCAGTCCCGCATGGGACGGCGCTCAGGCCCCCACCTACCGGCCAGGATTTCCGCTCACAAGGGGCCACCACACCCCCTCCCAGCCTGGCGATGCCGAGTCCTCTGAGGCTGAGCCTGAAAGCCTCTTCTGAGGCCTCGTGGGCACAAGAAAGAAGTGTCCCAGATTCCTTTCCAGCTGGAAACGGTTGTCCCCTCTTTCAGAACCCAAATCAGACCCTTCTTGGAAGCAGGCAGGGCACAGATTATTCACACGTGGAGGAACGAATAATCCTGCTCGTGGCAGGAGAAGACGCTGGACCGTCCCATCACCTCGAGCTCCAGGTCTCGCCTTTCCTGACAGCAGGAGATGGGCTTTAAGGCACTTCGTGGGCTGGGCCTGATGGGTGACCGAACGCTCGGGGCTGGGGGTGAGGGGCTGCTGACAGTGTTTCCCAGCTTCTCTCCTGGACCCTCTGACCCCTCGTGTGCCTTCTCAGACGTGGAGATGCGCAAGCCCGTCACTCCTAATAGACCCTGAGCTCTTTGAGAGCAAGGACCAGGTCAGGTCAATTCTGGAAACTGTCACCAAGGACAGGTCCTGCTACAGAGGAAGTGCCCAATAAATGTTAGTGAATGAACTTGTCATTACGTCTTTAGGGTCACCGTGGGGCGGGGAGGTTGAGAGAGTGGGTACTATGATGCCCTTCCCCCCACCTATCCCCTGCTCTTCTCTCTCACAAATATTTGATGACTGTCATAACCATTTGACAGTGTCACACTCATCCATCTGGTTCGCTAATGAGCCACCGGAGCCAACTAGAGAAAATACCAACTCGTTTTGAAAAACTACTTTTTTTCTGATAGACTAAGTAAATTGGCCCTCACACCGCCCCTGTGTGAGAGGAGGAAAGGAAAATGGAGAGGCGGGACCCCACTGTGTGCTCACAGGTCTTGGGCCTCGCCCCAGAGGGATGGTCGAAGGTCCGCCGTGCACCAAGTGTTAGCGGGATGTTCACCTCCTAACCCACCGCGTGCACTCCCCCCGCCTGACGGCAGGTACCCCGTCTTGACACACCCACCGCCTTGGGTCCCAGTGGGCCACCAGAACAAAACTACGTGAGACCGTGCCTGGGGATGGTAAGTCCAGGCCCGGCGCCCAGACGAAAGCCCTCCACCAGCCCCCCCGCCCTAACATCACCACTTCCGGGTGAAGTAACTTAATGATAAATCGAAATGGGGAGTTAGCGAGTTAGCGGGGAAGAGCGGGGCAGGTGTGTGTGTGGAAAGCTCAGAGCCGCACGTGACGTGGCCCCTCGGTCACACCCATGGCACTTCATGAAGGAGGCCAGGAGGTCCTGAGGGTCCTGGGATTTAGGACCAGCAACTCGTGTTCTCATCAAGTCCCCCTCCAGCTCCAGGAAGCCCTTGGGACAGCTTCACCCACGCTCCGGACGCAGACCACCTGGGTTTAAAATCTTAGCTTTGCCATGGCTGTGTGGCTTTGGGCAGGTTACTTCCATGCCTTGTTCCTTCGCCTCTACAGTGGGCATGTTGAATTATTGTGGGCTCTCATCAGACAACTTTTCACAAATGCCCCCCACACAGAGCAGATGATCAATGTATGTTAGTCCCCTTTCCCCATTAGCTGCTATGTATCTGAAATCCCATATTCCCAATGGCTTTGTGTTGAGTCCCACTCGAGTCCCCCGGAGGCACTTCCTCCCGGTGGAGGCCGGGCAGAGGGCGCGTGACCTGCCCTGCAGCAGCTGAGGCTGCTTGGCGCCCATGCCCTCATGCTTATGAATGGCTGTTACGTATACGGCAGATCGAGCAGCGCTTCAGCGGCCGCAGCCCTGGGCAAAGGCTTTACTGTGCTCACCACCCCACGGAGCCCACCTCTTGGTTCCCAGACCTCACAGGGCACCCAGAAGCTGAGGCAAATGCTTAGAAGAGGGTATGAAGCCGTCAGATGAAAATTGGGCCCCCACCATCAGCTGCCCCTCCATCTGATCATTGACTCAGGATAAGCTGGGAGGCGTCAAGGAAGCTAAAATCAAGGCTAGACAGACACCGGCTTGTTTGTGGCCCTGGGCAGATCACTCCCCTCTGGGCCTCAGTTCCTCATCTGTAAAATGCTCAGACTACAGGAACTTTTCTGCCTGAACATTCCTGAACTCCCTCATGGCTAAGAAAAGAATTGGAACCCCAATGCCCCATTTACCCCCACCCAAAACCACGTGAACAACCCAAGCAAATCATCATCCCTAGCAGAGGGCTCCACCCCTTCCCAGGTACCTCCAGGCTGAGTGAGGGGCGCATAGTAAGGGGCTCCACCAGACTGGGCCTAGCAAGGGTGCCACTGGGGAGGGCCCCCAGACCTGCCAGCCAGGCTCCTGCCTCTGGCTCCACCAGGCTCAGGAATGGCCCTGGGATGTCGGCGCCTGCCCCTGCGTGGGGGAGGGCAGGGCGGGCTCTGACGTGGCCCGGTTCAAGGCGTTGTGAATACAAGGCTTGACCCGACGGAGGAGTTGCCGCCCTATAGGTGAAGCGGTAGAGGATGTGCCTGTCTTAGGTCTGGTCCTTGCGTGCCCAGCCCTCCCTGAGGGCTGCCACCCACTTCGCTCCCCAGCCAACAGGGTCTGCAGGGGCCTGGCTAGAGAGCATCTTCTTCCTCGGGGCCTGACCGGGGGCCCAGAACCGAAGTGCGACACTGAGGCAATAAAGATCCAGATCTGTGCTTCAGCTCAAAAGTCAGCTTTTTATTATCAAGAGCCAGGGCCCGGGGAGGGGAGGGTGTTGAGCTAAAGCAGCACTGCTCTTTCCAGGAAACGGTGCGAGCTGCAGTGAAAGCTCGAGATGTTGCATTTTTTTTTTTTTCAACTCAAGCATGTGTTTTTCAAAAATATCATCCTTCCCCACCCCCACCCCCCGCCACTAATTTTAGAATCAGACCAAAGCCAAACTACTGTCCTCTGTTTCTTTTGGGAAAATACTATATTTATTCGTGATGCAGACGTGTGTCTCTGCAAACCTCCAATTGCTTCAGCAAAACAAATCTGCTTTAGACTATACAGAAACCATGATACAAAATTTATTTCATGCTAGGATCGCTTTGCATAACATTGGGCATGCAGTTTTTACTCTGAAGTACTAAATTGCATACAATGCCAGGTTGTGCCTCATTAAAGGTGGAGGAGGGCCGCCCCTCCCGTGGTCCTGATCTTTTGGTGCTCTAAAGAAACACGTGGAAAATCCATTCGGTGTTGAGTATTTACTATGAACAATTTGTTATGAAAGTTGGTCACACGGGATCTACACATCGAAAAAGATGATAGAATCAACCTAGACTGGCCGCTGTCGGGGGTCTCGGGGCGACGTCCGCTGGGTCTCAAGCATGCCAGGCCGAGGGAGAAGGTGGCAGTGCGAGTTTCCACAATTCTATTTGGAGCAAAGTTCTCAGTTTCCACGTGAGAGATGAATTATGAAGGTGAGGTCAATATGACCGATGACTGACCCGACTGCCCTTTTGGGAACCTTTCCTCTCGATCTTGTGTACGAAAAAGGGGAGCAATCTGTTCCCTGTCCCCACCGCTCCCTCAACCCCCAGCCCCTCCCCCAGAAACGTACAGGTTTCTACCAAACGCCCTTGCAGTCTGGCTCCAATGTGTGTAAAAGTAAAGAGCTTTGAAAGAAAATAGACTTCTGCTTTTTTCTTTTCGTCGTTGTTGTTGTTGTTCAGGGTAATCATACAGTTGCAGGGGGTGGGTGGGTTTGGTTTGCTGGGTTTTCTGTTTAACTTCATGCAAGTCATGCTAAGGAACCCCTCCGCCCCCCTCCCCGAATAAAATAAAATTTTAAAAAAATGAAAAGAAGAAAAAGAAATCCTCTACGGTCAGTTACCATTTGGCCGTAGAAAAAGCTACGTCCGTCCTAGCACAATGCCTGGGCCACTCGGACTCGTCCGGCAAACCTGCGTGGCGTGAATTTACTCTGTCCGAGGGTGAGGAGGGGCTGCAGGTCCACCCAGATGCTTAATAGCCACCAGTGTCCTCGGCCAAGCCGCCTGGTCAAGTCACTCTCACAGCCTCTGTCGGCATATACTTAGCAATGACAGGGCTTTCTTTGCAAAGATCTGTATGTAAAGAATACAATTAACACTTGAGCGTCTCTTCTTGGCTTTCCCATCCCGCTTGGTACTTAGTATTTAAGGAAGGAGGAGGAAAGACAGAACAGCCGCATGCAGAGGCAGGCAGATTCTTCTCCAGCTGGCTCGGCTTTCCCATGCAGTGAGCCAGCCCAGCACGCCTCTTTCTCTCCCTCCTGGGGGGACCGGGTAGAGTCCCTACCTAACTTCTCTCCTACTCTGCACAGGGCTTATGGCCTGGAGTTATCCTGAGAAAAGCAAGTCCTTCGCAGCTGTCATGACTCCATGAGAGCAGGGCTGGGTGGGTGTGGGTAGGGGCACTTCACCCGCGGTGTCTCCCAAAGACTCGGGCAGCCACACCTCGCCTCTGCGGGACAGGGGAGGGAGTACCACCTGTGGATGGTGGCTTCTGCTGGGCAACTATGGGGGAGAGGACTTCCTCGTCCCACACTCCCTGGGCTTCTGGAAGCACAGTAAAGAGACTCTCCTTTCTGCTCTTTGAGGTCACACAGATTGGCCCAACACTCAAGGTGAAGTGGGCAGGTAGCCCACAAGACCTTCCCAGGCAGAGCACAGCCGCTGGGAGTGCGGTGCGCCTGCTTTCCCCTCTCTCGCTGGGGCTGCCTCTGCTCCTGGCCTTCTACAGCCTCCACTGGGGGAAAAGCCAGTTGCATTAGGCCTACCCGTGGAAGGTGCCAAGGATGGGGCCCACCCCCCGCCGGGCCAGCAGCCCTCCGCCATGCAGCACCATGCGGGGAGCACTATGCTGCACTGGCGTCCAAGGGACCTCCAGGCAGAGCAAGGAAGCAGGAACCAGCCTGGATCAGGTGTGCACACTAAGCACCAGTGACAGAAAGGACTTCCCCCATCTCAGTGTGAGCTGCCTCCTCTCCTGGGTTTGCCCTTCATTTTGAATTCTGCATTTTCTCCGTGTGTATTGTTGAACCACTTCAAACACTGGAGCAGTTGTAAATGGCCACAGGCTACATCAACGGTTGTTCTAAAAAGCCAACTATCACTGTGGCCCCACCTGCTCACCCCGGTCAGCATGCATCCCATGCGAGCACGGGAGGTGCTCCCAGACATGCACGAGCTGCCCAGCCAGTCCGCTGTGCTGAGGGTCGCTTTCTCGGACTTCCGGGCCCTGGGCCACTGCCTGGGGCCTGGAGCTAGGGTGCTCTGGGCTCCTGGCCCAAGCCTCTCCCCAGCCCATGCCCCATCAAGCTCTGGTAGAAGCCTTTTCCCCAGGCTAAGGTAAGGGTCTGGTAGAAGGGGTCCTTGAGCAGAGACCACCACGGGGCTCAGCCTTCACCAACCACAAGGGGGCGCTGACCACACCTAGGGCCTGGCTAATGGGCGCTGAAGATGGAAGGGGCTGCAGAGAGTCTTGTGTTGACACCTTCTCTTGGCAAATTCTCTTATCTGTCACTAGCAATATTCTGACTGGCACATACCTTACCTAGCAAGGACGCTGGCCTCACCCCCAAGGCCTGAAGCCCCCTCTTTCTTCATGGCTCCCCTCCCAATGGTCTGGTTTCTCTTAAAAGGATGCCTCTTCCAGAACATGGATCTTGGGTGGCTAAGCCCACAGGGTCCTGGCCAGGCCAGACCCACCCACTGCCCTCCAACCACAGGACGGAAAGATCATTTTGCCTTTTGGGTCTGACCTGCCATCTGCCCGAGCAGCCTGGAGCAGTCGAGGCTCCTTCTGCGTCCTTGGGTGCCCCTCTGCCTTAGGGTCACAGCCCGTAGTCAGCCAGCCTGTCCCCAGCCCTTCCTACCCCTTAGGTACTAACCCATAATACCAACCCACAGCTGCCTGGGCCTCAGGTCCTCCCTGCCGGCCTGACGTTCCACTGAGGAAAGAGGGACTCATCTTGGTAGGGGGCCAACCCTGGGGGCTCCTTCTGTTCCCTGCCCGCCATCGGTGTGCCTGCCTGCCCCTCAGCACCCCTCACCCACCACCCCGCCCACCCGTCTGCAGGAGCGCGAGGCGGCCCGGCCGATGCAGTGCCCCAGCCTCCTCTACATACCCTTTCTCATTCCTCCACCAGGTGGGCACGCGTACTCCCCGGTTGATAAGAGGAAGCAGGGTCCGTATCTCTCGCGGGTGCCCGAGCGCGTAAAGGGCAGGCCCTCATCGGGAGTGAGGGCCTGGTCTATGTGGGGGCAGTCTTCGTTCGCCAGCGCGGCCTTCGCCACCTCCCCATTCAGTTTGGAATCTTCAAACATATAAGCAGAAGCTATTGAGACACTGAAAACTGTTTAGTGGAGGGGGAAATAGGCCGGAGGTGGGGCATTGGCAAAGGGCAGCCCATCCCTGAGGACGGAAAAGCGAGGGGCCATGGAGGGAGGCTCGAGGCTGGGGGTTCCGGCTCATTCAGGCAGCCTATGGGCCGCCCACGGTGCTGCAAAGGAGGGACTTCCTGGGTTTGCTCAAAGTTTGCAAAAAGATGAGTTGGCGGGCCCAGCAAGCGCGGTGCTGGGGGCTGGGCCCAGGGCCCGGGGCCGGCCGATGAGACACGATGGTGTGGATGCAGATATGGGTAGAGGGCCAGACACAGAGCTCAGGGGGAAGACAGACAGACACACAGAAACACTCCAGTCTAGAGAGGCAGCCTTTTCTGACCCCTCTGCTGCTGACCAGAGCTTGGTTGCCTCCCATTCTTATCCAGCTCAGGCGTCCCTAACCCCATCCAGACCCTGTCCATCAACGCTATCCCACTCCCCATTGGATCCCGTCTGATCACTCACTTCACGCTGACCCCCATGCACACCTCACCTGATCACACAGCCGGCCCGCATCCCACAGGGATCTAATTGGGTCACTCTGTATGCTCTGCCCCCCATGAAGACTCGGCCTGGTCGCACAGTCTCCTCTGTCCCCAATACAGACCCAATCTGACCACTCAGTCTGCTCCATCCGCCACACAGACTAATGCTGGTCACTCGGTCCGCTCCGATCCCCACTCAGATCAAGCCAGGGCCGCCCACCCCGCTCTGCGCCAAGCAGGCCCGGTCAGCGAGCATAGGCACAACAGGGATGTTTGCATGAGCCGGTGACAGCGAGCCATGATTTGGGAGCGGGCTCCCATGCCTCCGTCTCCTTTCAGCAGCATCCCCCGAAAAGCAGAGCAGATGGATGTGTAAAGACAACAGCAGCTGATGGACTCAGGTGGGGAAGACGCGTCTTGGGCTCTGTGGTAGCCTGAGAAGGAACCTGGGAGGAGGTCTGGGGACACATGGTGGGGGCAAGGTGTGGCCACAGCAGGGAGCTCACCCTCTCCCAAGTCCAGGAGCAGCGCTAGGGAAGCCTCTGGAGCTGGCAGAGGTACTCTGGGTGGCCTCCGGCCCCACCCATCACTCTTGGGGACGGAGCCTGACCCACGCTCTGGGCTCTCAGAGCAGAATGTTCCTGGCCAGGGTGGAGCCAACTCAGACCCCACGGTGGGCACCTTGGCTTTCTCAAAGACTTCACCTAGGGTGCGAGTCTCCAGGGAAGACTGGCACCAACATGAGTGGGACCACGGAACGGGGTTGGGGGGGTCTCTGTGAGACTAAAAGGGAAAAAAAGCTGGAGGCAGTCTCCTCCCGATTTGACCCTCTTCCGTGACCCTGTTCACATCATGTAACTACACGCAGAGGTGATCCTTCTCCGCGGGCACATGCTCCGTGTGCCCGCGGGCAGGACCACGGCCCGTGTGCACATCATGTCACTACAAAGAGGCAGTCAGTCAAAAGAGAAATGGACCAATCAGGTTTATTCATAAAGCAAATCCAAAAAAAATCCCATCATAATTTTGGAACTTAAAAAAAAAAAGTCTGTCATACAAGATGGCAAAGCATTTCACGTACAGTGCGTTTCTTGACAAATCCCAGGGGCTTCACTCCCCGATTTACTCTGAGCCAGAAAGCCCAGTTACTAAGGTAACTCTGACACCACATAACGGGGGCTGGGGCCTCCCTGGGGTCTGGGGGCCGCCTAGCACTTGCGGCGTGGCCCTGGGCACACATCTGGGTGCACAGACACGCCCAGTCCTGCCCCCACCCCAGCTCTGGCTGGCACCTGGCTTCCCTCCCTCTCTGGGCTGAGAGAAGAGGCTGGTTGGGGAGAGGGGAGGGAAGCAGAAGAAGGAGAATGTGGATGGGGGTGTGGAAGTCGGGGCCCATAGCACCCTGCACAAATTTTCCGCAAGGGGAAAACCGTAAGCCCTAGCAGGCAGCATCTCCATCTGGGAGGGGAGCCAGGACCTGCTGTCTCTCTGTTGGCCTGTCAGTAGAGGTAGCTACAACCTACAGTTCTTGCCCAGGGGTGGGTCAGAGGTGGGTGGCAGAGACCTCTCCTCAGGCTCTGAGTGCTGAGTCCCCACCAATGGCTCTGCCCCACCCCCGTGCCACGCCCCTGGAGCATCCAGCTCCCACAGCTGTTAAAGGGTCCCGTGTGGGGGCTGGTTTTCCCTGCAGGGGATGGGAGCAGGGGCAACCATCAGGGATCCCTGGGTGGATGTGAGCTTTGTACCCTTGCTTCCCTCAAGAGACGCCCCCCCCGCCACCACCAGACACATCTGGGCCTGCTGCTTCTATCAACCTCGATTCTAAGGAGGGGGCTATAACTGGAAGAGTTGAGGTCTTGCTCTGTGAAGGAGCCAGCCTCCCTGGGCTGTTGGTTTATCTGTGGTTTGAGGTGCTGTCAGAAACTGGGAGCATTCTCCCTCTCCAACTCCAGAGGGGTGGCTGGATGAGAGGGAAACAAAGGAGGGGCCGACTCTCTCAATTGGGGGAATGCGTGGGAAAGGCCAGAGGGTCAGCTCACCCAAGGCTCCCCACCCTCCTGCCGTTACCCCGTCCTTTGGATAAGGTGGCCACCAGGAGCCTCGGTTCCCACCTGCTCCCCAGAACATGGGAGCCCTGCCTCCCCTGGCCCCGGGCCCCTCCGCCCCTCTAGACCCATGGGCTTGCGATGATGAAATGGCAGCATGGGCAGCAGCTCACAGAGATGGTTTCCAGGCTTTGAAATGGGCTGAGATAGATGAGCGTCCGCAAGAGGGTCATTTTTTTTAAACTTTGGAGCAAGGAGAACCCGGTGTCAGGGCCCTCGGCCAGCAGGGCTGGCTTCTCCGCCCTGGTCTCTGGGCACCGCCAACGTACTTACTGTTCAGACCAGCGGCGGCCACCAGGGGCGCACACAGGGCTGGGGCGGGGTGGGGGGTTGCTGGGCATTTCCTTGGGTTTAGCTCCAAGGGGTCTGCCCAGCGAGGGGCTCAGGGAAAAAGTCCCAGGCTAACTGGGGACAGTCTGGGAGAGACACGAGCAGAGTACAGTCACGAGAACCGGCACAAGTCATGCAACAAAACGAGGAGAGAAAGAGAGAGAAACATGATTAGTGAAGAGAGAGAAAAAGAGAGAATATGAACAACACAGAAAAGAACACCAGGCCTGGCCCTCGGAGCTGCATCATTTTCTGTAACCTCCCCCTCAGACCACTGGGGGGCCACGCGGACCCCACATGGACCCCAGCTGCCCACCCTGGCCCCGCGTTGGAGCAGACACTTGATCCGCTCATGCGCAAGGGCCCGCCGACCCCTTCCTGGTCACCTCTGCCCCAGTCATGTCAGTCTCCCTGCTCCGGCCCAGCACCGCTCCGCTCCCTCTGCAGCCGGCAGGGGAAAGGTGGGGGCAGGGAGAGGGCCATCCGGACTCACGTGCTCAGGGGAGAACCTCCCGCCCCCACCCCAAAGGTGCCCCGGAGGCTGCACTGGTAGCTCCCAGGGGTCCCGGGCACGGTCTTCTCTGGGGCCTCACTGCTGTTCTGTGTGCCTGTGGGCAGAAGAGGGGGTCTGGCTACCACCCCCCCATGCCAGCCCCCCACTTGCCTATGGTGGATCCCACAGCCCCGGACGTGGCACCACAGAGGAACAACCCACATCACAGGAGCAGAGATGGACAAGACACACGTGAATGGACATGGCAGGACAGAGGGAGCACTCTGAGCTGCCCAGAGCGAGTGGCCTGGGCTCCCATCTGCAGGTGCAAGGGGAGCGACTCCTCCTGGGCCATCAGACCCTGATGATGCGGGGTGCTCTCCTGGCATCCCCCTCCCCTTTGAGGTCCTACAGCCCCCAGGACACCCCACACACACACTGAGGCCATGCCAGCCATGGCACAACGGAAAAGACCAGATCATCCTCACAGACACATGGACCTGAGGCTGCGGGAGAGGACAGAGGTGGAGGGCAGGGGAGGGAGCTGCTGGCCTGGCTGGGAGGCCTCGCTGGAGCTGGGGGCGGTGCCCTCAGGGCCCAGAACGCTATGTGTGGGCCCCCCCAACCCCATCCAAGTTCTAAGAGGAAATGGAGAGCCCCAGGCTTCTTGTTGAGGCCACCTGACTGCCCTGGGGGGTGGAGTGAGCCTGGAAAAGGCTTGGGCGCTGCATCTCACCTCCCTCGACCCCTGCAGGGCTGGGTCTCCACCCACATTCGCCTTCCTTGCCTCTGGCCTCCCCCACTCACTCACAAAGGCACCCTGGCCCCAGGCCCATGGAGGTGCATAGCTATAAGCAGAAAGGAGGTGAATGGGAAGGGACTCGGGGAGGCAGAGACTGGGAGGGGGCGCGGCGGGGGGGTACTCCCTAAGGACTACAGCCCTCTCAGTAACAGTTAACCCTGGGCTCACACACCACGTTTGGAGGAAGGAGTGTCCTGGCGAGGGGTGGAGCTCAGAGGGGGCTTCGGAGCCCCGAGTGGATGGGTATGGGCATTAAAACAGCACCAGGAGGACAAGTGAGTATACTTGGGAAGGGGGTGGAGATCCAATGTGGGGACGGGAGGTGGATTCTGGCATCTGGGCTCGAGGGGAAAGGCTGGGGAGAGCCCAGAACACCTTCTCAGCCACAGAGGCTGCTCCTGCCGGAGCTCTGGGTCCCTGAGGCCTGGGGCCAGTGCAAAGAGGCCCCCGGGAGCAGGGCTGCCATGGCTGTGGGGCCTGGGGTCCAGCAGGAGTGCACGGGCTTCACAGGTCTGCTGCAGCATGGGAAGAGGGCTTCTGTCCCTGGGACGAGCTGGTGTACATGCCAGAACACACGTCTGCACTGTGTGCACATGCGTGTGCGTGTGTGCATGCATGTTTGTGCGTGTGCATGCACCCTTAGCACATGGAGAATACTGGCTTTGTCTAGGAGTGCAGACAATCTGTGCCTGACTGGAGGGACCCGGGATCCCTGACAGGCTGGCGTGGGGCACCCATGCTTGGGGTACTAATCCTGAAAGAGCCAGTGTTGGGGAGGATGTGACAGAATGGCCAAGTAGCACCATGGTGATGCCACTCAGGCTCAGCTCTTCCTCCTGGGGCCTGGAGTAGAGCTGGGGGCTAGGACAGCCCAGACCCTCCCCTAGAGCCCCAGGAGCTTTCCTCGCCATGACGGTAGCTTCCGAGGTCAAAGAGCTGGCTAGTCCGCAGCAGAGAGGTGGGGCAGGAGCGTCCCACCAGCCGACGCCGGTTTCCGAAGCAGGAGCCATGCGTGGGCCGGGGGGGCGCAGCCCTGCCTCAGGCTCCCTATTCCAGCTTCTGAGACCCCTGCCCACTGCCTGGCCCAGCCCAGGACACTAATCAAGTTCCTCTCAGGTGCTTACAGGAGTCCCAGGAAAGGGAGGATATGGGGCCAAGAGAAGGGACTGGAGAGGCCCCACGGACAGAGAGGTGGGCCTTGGGGGTACTGTTCCGGGCGGCACAGCTGTGGGATGAGGCCAGATCTGGAGTGGGATGGGGGTGGTTTGGCAAAGGGCGCATCAGCAAGGAGGAAGAATCAATCATACGCTGGGGGAGGCCACCCAAACCAGGGGAAACTTGCTCATCTAGGGCTGCTGTCCTTCACAGACTAAACGCCAGCACTCACTCAGCCTCCCTCACCCCACGCTCCTTCTCAGCTCACTGCTGCATTCTTCTCCGGGTCATCTGTTCCCTTGAAATCCCTGTGTCCACAGAATAAGTCGATGGTATTCCATGGGTAGAGGTAGACTATGGGCTTTATATCTTCGGACCAGAGCCCCGTGATCAACTTTATGTGCTATGTGCAGGTTCTCATAAAACTGAGATAGTCCCATAACAAACCACTAGCCATGGAATATTAGAATATATCCCATGGTGACTAGTATTGTTTCATGCCCGCCCTCCCCCTCCCCCCTCCCCGCCCCCACTGAAGTCACGGGAAAGTGGTTGTACACTGGTTGGGGTGTCATGTATTGCTGCTGCAGTCCCTACCGCTGGAAGTGGGGGGAACCCTCGGTGGGAGGTGGTTGCTGGTCTGTAGCGCTTTCGTCTAAGCTGCCCGGGGTGGTGGCCCGCCCCCAGTCCTTCGCTCACCAGCCGCTTCCATCAGAAGGCCATCGGAAACTCCCACTCAACCATCAACCCAAACAGACAACGTGAAAGCTAGAGTCACTCCGACAGGTTCTAAAGATAAATGCTAAACTCTAGAGTGGTGGTAGAAGATGAGTTGGTTCGGCATGCTATGGGGGAAGTAAGCTTGTTACGGAGGGCTAGAGGCGTCTCCTAGGACGCACCCGGAGCTAGGCAGCTGGAATCAGAGCACGAATTCTACTCAGCTATGGAGACAGGCTCTGTTGGGGGTGAGAATCCTCGCCACTGCCTTTGCAGGGACCCTCCTGCCAGATCCCATGCACCATTTGTGCCGTCTGCACAGCCTGAAGGGAGCTGTGTAAAGACCAAATCAGAAGCTGCCTGCCATTTCCAAATCACACCCGCCCCCGCCCTGCCCGGACACCAGGTCAGTGGCCTGAGTCAGAGACTCACGCTGGACTCCTGCCCACCGAGCATCAGCTCCCCGGGCTCCTGCTAAGAGAGTCCTCAGCAACCTCAAGGGCCATGTCGTCTCTTCAGAACCTCGTGAGACCAGCACGTCAACCTCCTTACCCAGAGCCACCAGCGAGGTTCCTCTAGCTGGCTCTCGCCTGGTGAATTTGGCTGCCCAGCATCTCCCTGGGCCCCCAGGCTCCACACCTCAAGATTGAGTGCGGGGATCCGGGGTCACCCACGGAACTAAGGAAGCAGTCTGACTGAATCTGGAATCATCGCTACAGGGGGCAAAAGTGAAAGGTCAGATCGACATGCCTCTAAGAGGTTTCCTACCTGCTCTGTTAATTTCTAAAATTTCTTCCTGGGCCAGCGGGCATGTGTCACTCTGAGTACTGTGGTGTGGAGAGTTTACGACAGATTTACAATAATTGGGAGATCCCAGCTGCGGTGGCCGTGGAATATGCTTCTTTTTTTTCTTTGGTAGTTTCTGCTTAGCCATGGCTAAGGAGTAATACATCCCAAAATTGTTCACGATGACGGGCACGGGCATGGCGATGGTCAGCACCCCAGCCAGCGCACACAGCGCTCCCACCAGCATCCCGGACCACGTCTGTGGGTACATGTCTCCGTAGCCCAGTGTTGTCATGGTGACCACGGCCCACCAGAAGCCAATGGGGATGTTCTTAAAGTGGGTGTGCTCACTGGCGCTGGGGTCATTGGGCTGTGCCCCTATCCTCTCTGCGTAGTAGATCATGGTGGCAAAGATCAGGACGCCCAGGGCCAGGAAGATGATCAGCAGTAAGAACTCGTTGGTGCTGGCACGGAGGGTGTGCCCCAGGACCCGCAGGCCCACAAAGTGGCGGGTCAGCTTGAAGATGCGCAGGATGCGCACGAAGCGGACGACGCGCAGGAAGCCCAGGACGTCCTTGGCCGCCTTAGAGGACAGGCCACTCAGGCCCACCTCCAGGTAGAAGGGGAGGATGGCCACAAAGTCGATGATGTTGAGTGAGTTCTTGATGAACTCGACCTTGTTGGGGCAGAAGATGACACGCATGAGGAACTCGAAGGTGAACCAGACCACGCAGACACCCTCGATGTAGGTGAGGAAGGCCTCCGTCTCCGCTTCCCGGTAGTAGCGCACCTGCGTGCCATTCCGGACATTCTCAATCTCCGTCTTGTTCACAATAGGGTTGAAGCGCTCATGGGTCTCCAGGCAGAAGGTGGTGATGGAGACCAGGATGAAGAAGAGGGAGGCAAAGGCCACGTACTGTGGGGCAGAAACACAAAGTGTCAGAGGGGAGGTCCTCCCACCCAGAGCAGAGAAACCTGGGGCGCCCTTGTGTTGGGGCCAGTCAGAGGCCAGGCCAGGGAAGATGCGCAATGACCCCTCCTCCAACACGGGCCAAGCTGACAGCCCACCTTTCCCTCCTCAGGGCACGGGGTAAGGAAACTCGAGGAATGGAAAGGTTGTGGCAGGGATTGCTTTGTTTTCACAAACAGGGTTCCACTCCTCCTGGATGTGCAGCTAGACAATATTTCCCAGCCTCCCTTGGGTTAGGTGGGGTCATGTGGCTGAGCTCAGGCCACGAAAGGGGTGTGCGTTAATGCTGGGCCTGGCTCATACAACTTTCCTGCTCAATCTTCAGTGCTCTTCCCCCCACTGCCAGGCAAATGCTAAAGCCCCAGGGACCGACAGTAGCACCAGAAGGAAAGAGCCTGGGACCCTGAAAAAAAAGTCCACTAAATTCCCTCGTGGAGCTACTGCATGAGTGGGAAATAAACTCCTACTGTGTTAAACTGCTGTGGTTTGGGTGCACGGCGGGGGGATTGGTTAAAGCATTTAGCCACCCTAATAAAAGTGACCCAGCTTGCTGGAGCTGAAGTTGGCAAAGAAATGAGAGGGGGCAGCTATGATAGGATCAGGCCACACCTCCCATCTTTCTTCCTTTCCACTCCAGCCTATTCATTCTCCTTCTCATGGAGCTGTACCTCACTTATGGGTTCTCTTTCAGGTTCTATCCTATCTAAAGACATTTATCTGCCTCAGGGCCTTACGTGACTTCTTTTTTCACCTGCTTTCTCTATCCTCCTAGGAACTCATATGCCCAACCTGCAAGCGAGTTCCCCATCCTTGGAGGTATTCAAGTAGAGATACTGTGTTGCTGGTTTGGGCACCAGGAGGAGAACTGGACCAGATATCCTCAAAGGTACCATGGACCATAGGGTCTGCTTTTCTCCTGCTGCCCGCCAGTCCAGGACAGGGGTGCGGGTGGGAGGCAGAGGAAGCTGTTGCAGTCCTGGGGCTTTCCAGGCTCTCTCAGACCCCATCAGTGAGAAGGAAATGGCCAGAGCAACCCAGCCTGTCCAGAACCACCAGCGCTGGCCCTGAGACCCCAGAAAAAGGTTCAGGAGACCCTTCAATTTGGTTTGGTGGCCCCATCTGGTGGCCCCATCTGATGACCCCTCGGGCTTCTCAAGCCCCTAGCACACATGGGGACCCAAGGAAGGAGAATCAAGAAGCTGTCTGAGCTTCGGACCCTCCTTCTCAGCCTGAATTCCAGGCGAGCTCTTTCCTTAGAGCCTCCGGCGGGGCTCCTCTGAACTCGAACACACCATGGCCTCCTGTGGCAGCGCCCTGTGCAGCTGGGACCCTAGCCAATCAGCTCTCTTCCGAGGGCCCAGCCGGTCATTCTTGCCTGCATGTTCCTGCTGCTCCCCTTCCCTCCAGACCCTCCCTCTCTCAGCTTTGCTGAGACAGACCGTGGCCGGAACAGGGCCATCTTCCTGGAGGCAGCCCTGAGGCTGCCATTTACAGTCTGCAATAGGCGGCACCTGCAGTCTACAGAGCCGCCCTCCCAGATCACTCCAAGGAGTGCCACAGTCTCACTCCGTACCGTCAGCAGGAGGCAGCTATGCTGCTCCTAGCAATTTCTTTAATTTGCATCGGGGCCCTTCCGCACCTGGTTGGGTTCCAGAATAGCCCTGTCTGGGCTGACCTGGCCATGGGACCTGGCACCCAACCCAGAAGAGACCTAGAAACCAAGAACTATGTGGACCTTCCAAGTCACATTCTGGGTTGAGGGAAGGGCAGAGGTAAGGGGGAGGGACAAAGTCAGCAGTTCAGACTGTCAACATAATAGCAGCCTTTAGGGATTATCTGGTCCAAGACACCACATGCTACAGATGGGGAGCCTGAGGCCCAGAATCGGGAAGAGATCTGCCCCAGGCAATCCCTAGGGTTTGCTGAAAGTCCTGTAGGCTTTCGAGCACTGAGCACTTGTCAAAAATTTTGTTCTAGACTAACAGTCGTGCTCCCTCTGCATCCTTCCTTCCATCCACCTATCCCTCCTTTCTGTTATCCATCCATCATCCATCTACCCACCATCCATCTCTCCTTCCTTCCCTTTCCCCTCCCTTCCACTCTCCTCCCTTCTTCCTATCCTCTCTAACCTCCCTTTCATCCACACATCCACTCATCCTTCCTCTCTCCATTCCTTCTTTCGTTTCTTTGCTCCTTCCTCCTTCCCTCCTTCTCTTCCATCTAACATGCATGCATCCATTCTTTCCTTCCCTTCTCTTTTTTCCTTCCCTCTCTCCCTCGCCTTCCTCCCATCCTTTGTACATTTCCTTCCTCATCAAGCACCAGGCTATGCCTAGCTCAGAGGGGATAAAGCCTCAGCCCAGCCCCCAGGGAGCTCCGGGCCCAGCTGAGGGTAAAGGACGCACACAGAGATGATGAGTGCAATGCAGCGGACAGAAAAGGCGGGCCCATCAGCTCTGTGAAGTGGGTGAGGCTTGGGCCAGGTGGGGCAGGATCGGGACTTAACCCAGGTCCTCCAACTCGAGAAACAGCTCTGTAAGGGTCCAGATAGTGCCATCCTGGGTCACCATAGAGGCAGACCAGGAGAGCAAAGTGGAAGCAACTGAAAGAGACTACCACTTGGGACCCGAGTTTACCCATCACCAGAGCTGCCAAAACTCTTGGACCTAAAACACCCCTGTCCTCTGGGAATTTGTCCCCAGATTCCCTCTGGAGAGCCCCACCTTGGAGGGTGGCATTCACAGCCCATACTCCCCATGGGCAGGCCCCCAGCCATACCCCCTCCCCTGGCCTTCGTGACAGAGGGATGCCAAGAGTAGGGCCACTGCACCCCCCGCTCTCGGCTCTGGGCCATGGCGGAAAGCAAGAGGCACCTCCCCTCCTCGCTGCCCCATCAGCCATGGATGGCATCACCTTCCTAATCTGTCCCATATCTTCCATGCGCCCAACATTCTTGCAACATGCAACTCTCTGCCATTTCTGACCCCCCGCCTCCGGGTCCCCCATTGCCACATCTTCATACCTGTTGTTCCTTCCACCAGAGAGCGGTCCTGCCAATCTTTCTCTGGAAAAGCCCCTCATCCTTCAGCACCCCACTACGTAGCCCTTCTTCTGGGACATCTTCTCTGGGTGAGGCTCCTCTAGGCAGCAGATGAAGCCCCCCAAGGAGCCTCTAAATTCACTCCTGAGGACAGCGAGCCTGTCTCCAACCCTGGTTCATTAGTGCTCAGGGGAGGTACATGGGAACAGGCCAGACAGGGCACTGATGTCCCTGGAGCCTTCTCACTCCCCGGTGGCCCCACAGGCCCCTAGAGCTTTCATCCCATTTGCACCTCTCACAGGGCAGGTCTTGATGGGGGAAATGAGGCCCAGGAAGAGGTCAGGTCTTCTAAAAATCAGGGTTGAAAAACATCCTTGATTCTCAGCCATCAGTGGAGGTCCTGTCTAGATTCTTTCCTTTCTGGGCTCTAGAGCCAAAGGAGTGGGGATGGGCCATGGGCAGCAGCAGCCGGACCTCAAGCCAGACACAAGGACTTCTTCCCCAGGGAAGCCAGAGAGGTGAAAGCCAGGCCTCCTGCCCTGCCTGACTTCCTGGTGCTTTCCTTCTGGCCTTTGCTGCCAGCAGCCTGGTCCTTTGACACAGGTAGAGCCCCAGCAACACCCAGGTTCAAGTGGGCCCTTAGGAGGCTGTGGAGGAAGATGCCCCTGGCTTGCGACATCCTCCTAAGCCTAGAGACTAGCAGGTCAGCGGCGGTGCACAGCCAAAGCGAGAGCTCACACCCAGCTGAGTCTGAGGCTCCCTTCTGTCTGGCCTCAGGGAACCCGAGCACAGGAAGGAGAGAACAGGAAGCTGCTCAAGCTAAGGACCTATTCTGTACCTTTAATCCTCACACCACCTGGTCAGACAGGTGGTCGTGCCCCATTGTGCCAGCAAAGGAAGCCCAAGTTGAGAGAGGTTCAAGGACTAGACCAAGGGTTGGAAGCTAGCGAGGACGCAGAGGCTTGGACCCAAATCTCTCTGGCTCCAGAGCCTGAGCTCTTTCCACCACTAGAGTGGCCTCAGCACTTGGGTCTAGAAACACAGCCCTGCGCCCTGGGGAGCGGGCCCTGATCGTGCCTGAGTGGCTCATCTGGGAGCTTGACACCCACAGGCCAGACTACCTGAGGGCAGGCTATGCCCGTCCCCGGTGAGGGACAGAGCTGGGGGGGCTGGACCCAGGGGCTGGGGCCCAGCCAATGCCGGGACGGTTCTTGGGCCTCTTCGCCCAGGACCTGGTCGTGCCTGGGGCTACAGCAGCCCGGGCTGCGGCTACGCCTTGCGCAGGGAGTCAATGCTGACAGCGGCACTGGATGGTCCAGCCTGCATCCCCCGCTGGCCCACTTTCTGGAAGACCCAGAGAGGGCAGGGTGGGAGTGATCCCAACTTGTTCAAGAAGCTCAGCCAGAGGGAGAGGGGAGACGTGTGTGGGGACGGGAGGGCCTGGAGCAGCTGGGCGCTGGCAGGGAGGGCGTCTCTGCTGCAGGCAAGAGCAGGGGCTGCCCGCCGTGGGAGCCGCCTGCCTCCCGATCCCCAGTCACCAGAGGACATGGAACAGCCACTCAGAGACCACAGACACACAACGACCCAGAGTACACAGCTCGCCCATGACCTAAGCACACACACTGTGCATGCATGTGGCCACACACACTACAGCACAGTCCCAACCACACACACACACACAGAACACAGGGGCCCATGGAGCATACCCAACCATGTCGCCACGCACCCAACGTGGCCATCCAGGCGCTGCACTGCAGGGCGCACACCCCGCTACCCCCACACAGCACGCACACGCGTATACACTCAGAGCACACAGACAATGCAGAAGAGCCACCACACAGCACACCCACTAGGAATACAATAGACCCCAGGCATGGCTGCTCAGCTGACCCCACCCCGGCCCCCT